TACCCCAAGTTTACACGCAAGACTCTTTTCTGTTCGTTCTTTTTTTTTTCTTTTTTTTTCGAACCGTCGAATCGATCGAAGGGAACCAAGCAAGTGACGCGAATTTTCTCGGCCCAGTGGCGATAAAACACAAGTAAGAAATTACTTTACATCGCGTTTGCCCACGGAAAGTGTCTCATTTCCTTGCGGAAGTCATGAAACATTAATAAACCGCTGCAGAGAATGGCTCCCGTGATAATTGTTTATTTAATTACGGCCATTGTAAATCGCGCCAGAAGGAATGAGACAGTTTTCACGGTGAATATATTGTACGAAATAAAATTGGCTCATTTAATTAAACCGCGATAGTAAGTTTCGCTCGCGAAAATTAACAGCGACAGTAGAAAGAGATTTGGAAGAAGAACAACGCGAGGGACGCTTCAAATTGGCAACGAAGATCATTCCAGTAGTGAGATATTCATTTTATGGAAGAGAATTTTAATATTTTTCTTTCCTCTCAAAGGGCGATACGAAATGCTTGAAAGGCGAAATGATTCGGAACGATTATACTTGATAGAAGGGCTGCTTAAACTTCCCGTTAAGTATTTTCCTCGCCAATAATTCTCGTTGATCGATTTTTCACACGACATTGTTAAAGAATATCCTGTTGATAATGCGAACTATTACTCTTCGTCGTTTAATTTCAATTTGACAAATTCAAATGCCATTCTAATCGGACCGATAAAATAAATGTTGAAATAAATGTATTGACATCTTCTTGACGATAGTATTGCTTTCGTATTGCACTTACGACAATTTTGTTCTTATGACTATGCAGACGTTATAGATATTTTATAACTAGAAATAACGTTTGTACAACGCGGAAAAACGAACCTATCGAGGGTAGAGAAAAAGGTCAATGACAGCAGCGGTACCACGACCTTCTGCTCGCTTTTTCTTGTACGTAGCTAGCACATAGTGACTCATCCTTTTCCAATCTTCGCACGATACATCTTTACTCGACGAGTTTTCATTTCTTCAGTGTCGTGGCCATTAGTAATATCGCTATCTCATCGATAGTCGATTTAAATGCGAGAATTGGCCGCAGAAAACCCACTCTAACCACGATCCTATCCTTTTTTGAGTTTAAAAAAATTTAATTTCGATTAATTAAATATATTCAATGTGTGCTTGCAAAAGGATCAATCTTTGATCACCGACAAAAGGAAATTTTAGGGAAATCGATATTCAAGGAATAACTAAGGATATCCAAGGAAAAACTAGACCTGAAAACAAAATTTAAATCCTGTATATAACGATCCTGAATAAGTAATTCTAAATAACTCTAATTACATCTAATACGTTCTATAATATGAGACGTTACTTCACATATATAAAATATATTGATATAAGTGAAATATGTCTCATAAGAAATTATGCTTATTTAAATCTAATTATACCTAACTACACATGCATTCCTTGTTAGTTATTAACATATTTTAACATGATCGCTTAAAATTAAGGCTTCTAACTTTATTATCGTAACTAGTTATAATACGATATTAAGATTTTAACCTAATATTGTATTAATTTTATATGATTAAATAAATAACCCTACCATAAAGCTTAACCCAAAATTATTCTACCTAACCATAAATTTACTTAAAAGTATTCTGTTTAACTTAATCTACTTACTAAAATATCTGTATGTGCATATGTATCTTCATAATAAGAAGAAACGGAACATCATCAACAAATATGTTTGAAATCTCAAAATATCCTATGTACTTTTGTGCACTGGTTCTGAAACAAACATAAAAATTAAAAGAGCAGTACATTGGTAAAAATTAAATAATATTTTTCTTCATATGTTGAGGCTTCTTCCTAGAAATCCTATATAATAAATTCTTTCTTACATTAAGACTTTATGGTTTTATATCATAAAATCTAAATGTAAAAAAGAAATAGGAATTAAATATTATATAAGATACGAGTCTTCTTATATCGATCTCACAAGAATATCTGAAACAAACTTAAAATACTTCATTTTTTTAGTGACGAAAAACATTGTGAATATTATAAAAAAAATTTCTATAATATAATATTGTATATTATATAGAAAATTATAACTATGATTACAAACAATCATTTTTAATGATTTTATAAAATTTTGCCAATTTAATTACTCTTTCTTTCCATGTTTTGATTGATAGAAAATTTTTACTATAAAAAAGATATTCATTTTTTAATAAATGGTCATATTTTTAAGCAGTATTTTCAGTATCAAATGCTCCATTAACAAGGGGATGCTGAAAAGAAAAAGACGAAGAAGAGGTAGCCAGAAGGACTACCAAAATAATTATCCACTCAATATGAATCCGTAACAAACCGTGAGTGGAATGTTTTTTTTTCGCAACACTAATATACTAAATTTTCAAAAGAAAACGCGAAGAGTGCTTTATTTGTATTTGCAATGCAATTTCAACAAATAAAAAAAAAGAAAAAAATAGAAGATTCGCGAAAACATACACCCCCAAAGAGGTGCTCCAATTATTTACGAAACTCTAATAAACTATTTTATGCACTCTCATTTTATTATACGCAACACTAATAACGGAAGATTGCAGCCAATGCAGCCATATTAAAGGCTGCCGTCGTCAAATCACCATTGCGCAGCTCTTTGCTGCTTGGTGATTCAGGAACAATTTCCACCATATCAGTGGAAGAACTTTGGGCATATTGTAAAACGCAACACTACTTAAAAAACGCGTTCATTTATCAACGCAACACTATTTAAAAAACGCGTTTATTTGTTAACGCAACACTAATTCTAAAATAAATTTAATAAAAATTTACTATTACTGTATGAATGAAAAGCAATAAATATAAAATGCAAAGCTAGAAAATAAATTGAAAACTAATGACTCTGCAATTTAAATACAAAAAACAATCGCGATATTTTATAATTCGCAACACTATAGCAACGCGATCATCATTTTAACGCAACACTAATTCAAACCGTAATTGATCAATCGCAACACTAATTCAACCCGTGAATAGATTCTCGCAACACTAATAAAAATCGCGAAATTATTTCGTAATTCTAATCCAACCCGTAATTAATATATCGCAACACTAATAAAAAAATCGCGATGCCCACGATGACTGGATCTGGATGATGGGCCCGCATGCATTGGCCAGACAATACACAACATTTACTATTGTAAAACGCAACACTACTTAAAAAAACGCGTTCATTTATCAACGCAACACTATTTAAAAAACGCGTTTATTTGTTAACGCAACACTAATTCTAAAATAAATTTAATAAAAATTTACTATTACTGTATGAATGAAAAGCAATAAATATAAAATGCAAAGCTAGAAAATAAATTGAAAACTAATGACTCTGCAATTTAAATACAAAAAACAATCGCGATATTTTATAATTCGCAACACTATAGCAACGCGATCATCATTTTAACGCAACACTAATTCAAACCGTAATTGATCAATCGCAACACTAATTCAACCCGTGAATAGATTCTCGCAACACTAATAAAAATCGCGAAATTATTTCGTAATTCTAATCCAACCCGTAATTAATATATCGCAACACTAATAAAAAAATCGCGATGCCCACGATGACTGGATCTGGATGATGGGCCCGCATGCAATTCGGCCAGACAATACACAACATTTACTACGTGATACTAAAACGAGCACAGTGACAAAGTAATAACAATGACTTCCCATTCTTTGGACTTAAACAAAATCCAAAAAAATGAGAAAGCCATTCGTTGCAGCCCTCTTCGTGACAGTTTGTCGGGCCTCTTCGGTCTTCCTCCTTCGGGCGCAATGCCCGCTGAAACTTAAATCTAGGCTTCGAGATTCGCTAATCGTAAATAAAAAAAAAAAAAAAAAAGGACTAAATCGCGGAAGCTAATTGCACGTGGACGACCAACGATCGCAGTGATAATTGTCCGTACACGCGCAGAATCTCGAGCGCAACGTTCGTTTCGACAATACGCGACCGCGACCGCGGAATTCGAAAAATCGACGGGAAAAACCAGAGACGAAATGATTATTCTCCACTCGTCTCAGCTTTGCTCTCGATTTTTCAAATTTGATTTCCTGAAACAGGTTGCCACGCGAGAACGCGCCTACCCGATCGGAGACTGTGACAACCTGCCCGGCCCTACCTACTTATAATTAATACACACATACCAAAAGTATACTACCTATCCTACCTAGCCCTATATTTAAAAAATGGCAAAACAGGCATTCCAACACATTCATCCCACGATTCTCACACATAATGCTCGGGCGCAAAATGCCTACACTAGGGAAAACGTCCCGGGACGTCTCCGACACCCGAGCTTGGCATACTACTTTCACACTCTAACTTTACGTACCATTTTTCTGAAATCGACTGATAATGGCTAGTGATCATTGCGTAAAATGCGAAAATTTTGTATTTATAATATCAATTATAATTATGAATATTCATAACCAAAAAAACGTTTTCTTTTTGAAGATTATTGACTATTATTGGAATATAAAAGGGAAATTATTGAAATAATATATAATAAGATATCATTATAATTTAACGATAAGATTAATAAAATTTGATTGTTAAAAAATAACCGAAACGACGCAATTCCACAGCCTAACCACACATACACACAATGTGGAAAATACGTCGTGCACGATACACTAACGCATTCTCAGTCGCTAAAAAAATTTATATAAACTTATGAACTATGGTCATCATGCCCATCGCCTTTCTCTCACTCAAGTAGCACTTGGGCACGTGAATGAGATCCTGACAATGAACATGGAAGGGGTTAAATCTGAAAATCCTGAGCTAAAAAGATATATATTAACATAATTATTTTATATCTAACGGACTAATGAATTTTAATTTTTTATATTCTTATTTGATATTACATTTTAATGATTCTATATTTTACTTTTTATCAATGCAACAAATTGTAATAAATTTTTAATATACTTTGTAAAAGAAATTGCAAATCAAAGAATATATCTATTATTAAAGGAATGAGATAAAGCAATAAATTAATTAATTGAAATTTAAATATTAATAAAGATACCCTCAGGCGATTCCTCCATCAAAGCATATTTTCTAAAACTCGAAAAAATATTCAAAATTTATAGCTTTGATTTCAAAATCTACCTGTCGCGAAATGTCTTCTTGCATATAAAATTTCATATTCTTTTTGAACGAAATAAATTGAATTTTAATATTGTTATATTTCAAATTATATTAAAATTTATAATATGAAAATTGATCAATAAAATCGATAAAAATATTACCATAAAATGGAACAAACACGAAACACATCATCGATAATATGTATTATCCTTATATAATAATTGTAATTTGTGAATTTTGTGTGGATATTTACCTTGTCCATTACGGAATATCTAATTGAAGTCATTTCAATAATTTGTTATTTGTATGAATGTTTGGCTTTTACCAATCTGATTCTACAAATAACTCTAGCGAATATATTGTCAACTAAAGATACTCAACTTAATTACAAATATTATAGCTTTCGCATATTTTAATTACTAATATTACATGAGCAATATTAATATATAATTAATGATCAATATGATATTACTAATGATATTCAAAATCGCGTTATGCAAGAAAACCTAGCCTAAACTAATAAATAAAAACAAATAAAAAATGTTATTACTCACGGGTATAATAAATATACCCGCGGTCACTGTGCTCGTGCAAAATTCTACGTATACAACTAGTCACTCGTGTCGATTCGGACCTTTCATCCTACGACATGATTGAGTAACCAGAGGAACTAAAATGCATGCGACTCACCATTAGATGCGAAGAATCTGCATTGTCATCGATGTTATACATGAGAAGTCATCTCGAAGTCGTCATCAAGTAGAAGCTGTAACAAAACCATAATTTAAAATATAATATATATAATGATTATTTGCAAAAATTAAAATAATAAAAATGATATATTATATTGATGAAAAATATAAAAAAGATAATTACCTCTTCGCGTGATGGATGATCGCCTTGTTTTCTTGATGCACTGACTCTAATATATACCGGAAACGAATAATAAAAAAAAAAAAAAATAATAAAAAAAGACACACCCGTTTAATTAAATTTCAATCGGTCAACACTGACTCTATTTTCGCGAATGAATATAATAATTAAATTTAATTAGAGCTTTTATGCCCTAAAAAATATTAAAAGTACTATTACGTAACAAACACTGACTCTATCGACCGCATTGCGCTCGGTCACAAATATTTTTGGAGATTGAGGCCTAGAAAAAGTCAGAATCTTTAATAAAAACGAAAATATCGTATGTAATTTTTTTTAAAAATATAACATTAATATAAATTTAAAAGTTTTAAGATAATAAATTATAGAATTCCATTCAATTTTAAATTTTAACTAAATAAAAATAAAGATTAAGATTCTAATAAATTTCAATTATATCAAAATGAAAAAAAAATAAATTGAAACAAAAATACAAGGATAATTACCTCTTCGCGTGATGGATGATCGCCTTGTTCTTCTCTTGAAACACTGATTCTAATATATACCGAAAACGAATATTAAAAAAAAATAATAAAATAAAAGATTACTAGCGCGTCCGTTTAAATTTCAATCGGCGAACAAACACTGACTCTATTTTCGCGAATGAATATAATAATTAAATTTAATTAAAGCTTTTGTGCTCTAAAAAAATATGAAAAATACTATTACGTAACGAACACTGACTCTATCGATCGCATTGCGCGCGATCACAAATATTTTTGGAGACTGAAGCCTAGAAAAAGTCAGAATCTTTAATAAAAACGAAAATATCGTATGTAATTTTTTTTAAAAATATAATATTAATATAAATTTAAAAGTTTTAAGATAATAAATTATAGAATTTTATTCAATTTTAAATTTTAACTAAATAAAAATAAAGATTAAGATTCTAATAAATTTCAATTATATCAAAATGAAAAAAAAAAATAAATTGAAACAAAGATACAAGGATAATTACCTCTTCGTGTGATGGATGATCGCCTTGTTCTTCTCTTGAAACACTGATTCTAATATATACCGAAAACGAATATTAAAAAAATAATAAAATATAAGATTACTAGCACGTCCGTTTAAATTTCAACCGGCGAACAAACACTGACTCTATTTTCGCGAATGAATATAATAATTAAATTTAATTAAAGCTTTTGTGCTCTAAAAAATATGAAAAATACTATTACGTAACAAACACTGACTCTATCGACCGCATTGCGCGCGATCACAAAAATATTCTGAAAAAAAAACTATTATTAAGAAGGATAGAATAGAAAAAGAATAAAATATTTTTTCTTTTTCTATTGAGCACTTGTACTGAAAAATACTGCTATATTTTTAAAATTATTTGTTTAATTATTAACAAAAAATTTCTCGATAAATAATACAAATGAAAAAATATTATGTTTGTAATCAGAGAATAAAATATAATTTCAAAGATTAAAATATATAATATTTTTTATAAATAGTTCGAGAATATCACGATGAATCGAAATTCCTTAGTCAAATATGCCTCAGGCAAGTATGACAATACAACATAGACGCCATGTTTATCTTTGCGTCGAAACGTGTCTGAACCTGTCTGTTCCTGCATCCCCCTCCACCAATAATAAAGTTGCGACGTAGATTTCGAAATAAAATACGATGTTACGAAATAAAACTCGCGATCGAAATGTAACGATATCTAATGATTTTATTGTCGAATATGAAATAATTTATTTAATATATTTGAAAATATAAAATAATATGAAGAAATAATTTAATAAATTCGAAATAAGAAGATAATTCGACTTTTTCCTACTTTCATCGTAATATTCTCGATTGTGAAAATTATTTAATTACGTATGAATTATTTATTACATATTGTATATCAAATTTTTTTTACCAATAATCCAATGAAAAGAAAAGATAAATTTACATACGTCTGTTGTATTGTAATAAATCAAATATTACTGCGTTTCGATGTACGAATAATTAACGGTTGGCGTCGGTGTCATGGCGTCTCTTGTTCGTTCTTTGTTCGTTCAATCACCTTCTTCGATTAGTCAATGATCTGCACAAAAGAAAATCAAAAAAATTAAAATAAATAATCGAAATTCGAACAAATTATATCGAAATTAAGTAATATTCTAACTCGAAATTCGATTTTAAAAGTTAATGAGACAAATTATTAGTAACAATAGCAATGACGCCGCAGGCGATCAAAAAAGGAGTATATAAAACTACTTAATTAAGTTAATTAAAGTGATTAATAAGTAACAAAATCAGTTAATTTGTTTAATATTAATTAAATAAATATAATATTAATCAATTAATATATTAATAGTAAAAAATAATGATAAAAATACATACTGCGCAATAAGAAATCTGGATCGGCGTAACACGTCCTTCCACCACAATTTTCGACACTACAGTGACGCCTCGCGCCACAGGTTAAGTAAGACGATTTCTAATTGGCTGAGCAAAACATTTCCCCTTCCACTCAAAGTTTCGCACGAGGACAAAATTTATATACAAATCATACAAGTATTCTCGGTCGACGAAATACTACGTGTTCCATATAAGATTCTATTATTATATAAATTTTATTCAGAATTATTATTCAGGTAATTAATTTACGATTTTATACATTATAAAAATTTTTGAAATTTTTAATTATATAAAGATTATATTTTCATTTATATAAATTATATATGTTATATATAATTTATAATATATATATTTCTATATATATTTCTATAATATAGGTTATATTTGATTTTTTATTAATTTTTGTCATTTATTACAACTAATTATATATTTCTTACATAATAGATCTAAAATTTTCCTCTTAATTATATAAAGTAACACAAATAAATTAATAATTAAGTATAATTTATATTTTAACAAAAGATTAGAAAGTGAAAGTAAAAATAATATTATGCATTAATTATTCAATTACAATTATATTATAAATTATATTGTGCATATAATAATATATAATAATATTACATATTATATATTAATAATATATATTATATAATAATATATGATAACTTTTGAATAATTGTGTTACATATAATAATTCTTTAATATCTTTCAAATTAAGTTTACAAAAATTATTATAGAATATTAACATAGAGAAATATTTATATAAAATAGAAAGAAATATATAAATTTATATCATGTAATAAAGAAATTATATCTAAATTATAAAGTATCTAAATTATAAATCCAAATTTAATATAATTAAATTATTATATAATTAATATAATAAAAAATAAATGTAACGTTTGCATGCACTAAACTTATTATATGATATTATAATAAATTGTTCATAAATGAATATTATATAAATTTTTTACAAAATAGAAATCTAATAATTATACGTTATAGATTTTTGTAATAAAAAATATTTAGAAGATTATTCATAATGAAATTTTTGTAAGTGATCAAAAATTTATTAAATTTAATAATGTAATTTTAAAATAGTTCAAAAAACTATTTAATTTCTTTATGATAATCTATTAAATGAATAATTCATTCCATATGCAAAACTATGCTGGTGGATCATTAAAAATTCTCTTTATGCAATAGAAGATATACATGAATTAATATTCATATTACATACAGATATAATATTCATATTACATATTTATCTTTCTCTTTTTTATACAACATTAAATTTTTTCAACTTTAAAAATTAAATTAAATGTAATTTCTCAGTCTCAGAACTTTTACAACATAAAAAAATATAACAAAACTTCTGCTTTTTTTTTTTTTGAATAATCCATATGTTAAGACACAAAGGAATAAATTTAACTTGTACCTCATACAATATAGTTTTATTTTAAGATACAATTTATAAATTTTATTTTTATGATTTATATATATTTGTATCACACATTATTACACAATAAACACGAAAATTCCAGAAACAATAGAAAATACTTCATAAATAGTACATCTGAATTGCGTGTGGAATTGAATTTAACATATAATTTATTTATGGTCATTTAATATTTAAATTCATAAATATTATGGATTAATATTACACGACCAGAAAGAGCAAGTGAGATTTTCTGAATGCGCGTTTAATTGCTCTATATCATTTTATTTGTTAATGAATCTCATTAATAAATTTTAACGTGTATATCTATATTTCATACAGTCGCAATTTTTTCTCTTCAAAACGAGGATATCGCGGAGTCAGACTATTAACGTCATACAACGCGACACATCAAGCAAAAGCAGAGCTCGTGTACAAATAGAAATTTTAATTAGCCCTGCGAAAGAGGATGCAAGAAAATGAGATTTTGTTGCTTCGTAAACGTTATCACGCTAATTAGAAAAACGCGGAACTATAGTTGCCACTATTAACGGAGGATTTTCTCGCTTACGATGCGTCTAGAGAGCATGAAACGAGAGAAGATCCTCGACAAAACGTACCACTTTTCTTTCATATTTCATATCATCACACCGTCGAATTAATTTTTCATTTTTATAAATTCACGATTTTTATTTATCATTGAAGTTCCAAGAAGAACACGATTACGAAAATATCATTGAATATCAATCTATTCTTTTTTCAAATATCCATTATTTTTTGACTTTGTAAAATTATTATGCGTATGTAAATTACGTGTTGTATCAAAAAATTTAAAACCACCATATCTTTTCACGACGATTTTCATCAAATTATTATCGAATAATTAAATTATCCAATTTTACTGAATCTTACGAAATAATCGCCCCGTTATGATCGAAGCAATAACAAAAACGAAATTTCGTTTCGCAAAGATAGAAAGCCTCGAAAGGATATCTGTTTCGAAAAAAATTGTTCAAAGAATATTCGCGACTAAAAAGTCAAGTCATCCATGAACGATCGAAGCAAGCGATAGCCGCGCAATATAGAATTTCGATTTTAAAAACGCGGAAAACTTCAAAATTGCCACGACATCAATCTTAGGATTAAAGAGTTCGGGGCATCTATCTAGAGATGTAAAACGATGACACGAGTGTGTCGCCCCGTCCTCATTCCTGTCCTCAAAGAGCTGTTTTCACGACCCAGTTCGATTTAACGAGCTCCTTCAAGCAAGAGAAAAGTCAGTCGGGGATCGTGTTAGACTGGATGAATGTTGAAAACCAGATTTTTTCCAACGATTTTTCCATTCGGTACAATTTCCTCGTTAAGAGAAGACCGGCAACGCTTACGCGAGCTTAATTGTAACACACGGAGAGAGAAGGAGGTTCTTCGTCGATCTCAGATCCTCTCCTCTGCTCGTTATATTAAGCAAGCTTCGAACAATCGGATTTCTTCGAGAGTATTACGGGCGAAACTTTTAATTAAATGTAATAGTGTGACGCAATTACCGTGCCCGTAGCTTGTCACGTTTAACGCTCAGTATAATCGAGCGTATGTATTTTCAGAGCGCGGGGCATGCGGGCATAAGCAACTATATTCTCTTTCCCTCTCGCGAGCAACGTGCACGGGAATGTAACTAAACAAACGGTACACCCTGGGATCACCCTAAGTGTTTGTGCAAGTAGTTGCATAGTATTATAACGCAGTTGGTATGCCGCGTTGTGTGTCAAACCATGTCAAAATTAGAGTACACCCACGTAACCAAGTGTATCGGTATTGTTATTGTTGTTAATTAATAAACCACCGCTTCACGCTTTTCCCCCGGGTCTCCCACCCAACTTGATTCCACTCTTAATAAAACGTAAGTTAGTAAGAATTTCGTGGGAATGT